TTTTGCAAGCAGATGTATTTCATTCTAGAACTAAAATGATGGATAACAGATACTGGCATTACTGTAGTCTTTCTAGTAATCATCTCCATGGGTGCTATAATAATAAATTACTACATTTGATTCCGTAGAGAAATTGTATATGTACTGCAGATCTTTTCTTTTGTGTTACATACAAGCCTGGTTGGTGGGAACCTTCACTTGGCATCTTGGCTCCTCTCTGTGTTCATATTATATGTTCATCATCACATTATTATTTTTATGCTTGTAATGAACTAATTTTCTGCTAGCGATATTATTTGTTTGTCGGCGTAACTGTTGAGCTATTCATAAGGCAATATTATCACCTCGATGTATTACAACAATTTGGTATGTTGATTTGTATATTAATTGTTGACATATCAATCTTGCCCTATTCGTGCATAATTGGATGATAAGATACCCTACATCATACGATTCATTGCATGCTTCTTAGTTCCCTCCCTTCTTAGACAATCAATTGAGCATGCTATTTGATTATATCCACCATTCATAACAACCTTTCAAATCTTCATTGTTTGTAATATTGATTAGCAAGATGTAGGCATTTTATCCCTAACCCTACCAAGAACTTCGCATGTATGAGGTTTGAATGAAATCATACTTCTTATTAGCACTTGCATTGGAAATAATAGTTCCATTCAACATCTTGCTTCATTCTCCAAATTGAAATTCATTTGTTGCTCTTCTATTGGTGTTCATTTGAATATATATCAAATCACATGATATCTTAAATTTGATTAACTCAAGGTCCCAAGTCCAAATTGAGTTCAATTCATGCTCATTTCTATTTGGGTTCAACTCTTATTAAGTCATTTTTTAATTTTTTGTTCAAGAGACAAGTACAATGTCATCCTGCTCGTTCTTTGAAGTCCCGTGTTTCCAAGTAAGTTTCAAACTTGAGTTCATCAAGTTCAAAGTTCATATTCAAGCTGTAGTTTCATGTCCAATACAAATTTGAGTCCTTTGTTGAAGTTCAAATGAGAGTCCAAGTTGTTCAAAATTATAACGCTTGAGTTTGAATTAAGCTTTGAAAATGAGGTCTTTTGAATTCATAAATATCTATTGTTCAAGTGTCATTGCTCGTTTGATCGTTGAGTCCAACTCAAGTCTTCAATAAGTCCTTTTTATATTCATTTCAAATTAGCAAGTCTAAGTCCTTCACTTCGTTCAAACCCAAGTTCATGTTCAATGAGTTATGCTTAAGTTATGATTCATTTAGGTTTGACTTCAAATTAAGTAGATTTGAATCAAGTCCACAAGTCCAAAATACAAGTTCAATGTAGTCCAAAAGTTACAAAGTCCTTGCTTTTTTCAGACAAAATTTCAAGAATGCATGCCGCCGGCGTCTCCTCCCGTTTAGGAGAAAAAAACCAATAAGAGGCCGCCTAAAACCCCCAGCCACTAAAGCTGTGCTTTACGGTTGTGTTAGGATGAGACACCGCCGGCGGTTATGTATTTCTTATGTTTTCTCCCACCACGACGCCACATAAAGGCATTAGTGCATGGGGTTTATAAAAAGCATTTTTAATAAGCATGTTTTTGATTTCCCCCCGACCCGGAGAGTGTGTACTTATAAAGTGACCCCGCTGTCGCCGTACGTGCCACACCGGGATTCCATCCTCTAACCACGGCCAATAAAGGCGTGGCTCTAGGACAGTTCTCCAGTTTGTGACACCATTTCATGAAGCAAGGTTCTTGATTTTAGAAAATTCATACCTCCGCGGGGGTTGTATGGTTGACACGTGGTATCGAGGGGATCACTCGCCTACTCGCGCTTTTCACCGGGTTCCCTCCTACCACGGCCACTAAAGGCGTGCTTAGGTGGTCTTGCCGTCCGACAATACGAATTCGAGGTGGCAGAGTGGAGGGATTATTTAAAAATTTAATTTAAAATTAATATAATTATAATTAAGTTTAATCATATTGAATCATAACTAATTATTATTTAATTATATAAAATATTATTTAAATATTAATTAATTTATTTATATATATTTATAAATAATATATATTAATTAATAAAATAAAACAATAATCATAATTAAAAAATTATAATTAATTATATAAAGATTTATTAGTTATTCATTTATTTAATTAAATAATATAAGTATATATAAATTAAATAATTAATTATATTTATAATATATTATAATAATGAATTTACATTATGATATATTAATTATAACAAATTAATTTAATTATAAAATACTATATGATTTTAATTAATTTTAAAACAATTATAATAATTATAATAAAAATAAAACCCTTCCCTCCCCCCATCAAGCTCTCTGTTTGGGCATTTTAAGGGACTTGCAAGCAGCGAGCGGGAGAAAGGTTACCTTACAAACTGAGCAAGCTACCGTAGTTACTTCCAATTTAAAATGCGCGTAACTTCCAAAACGACAAGAAGGGAACGTCGTTTGACGGGAGCAAAGTCGTCAATGGAGGAGAAGGGAGCTCGGTCTCTGGGAAAGATCGGGAGATGTTCGCGCGGAATTAGGGAGATTACGGCCCCTTCTCTCTCTCTCTCTCTCTCTCTCTCTCTCTCTCTCTCTCTCTCGACTTCTCTGGATCGGACGAAGGAGAGAATGGGGCTCGGGTTCGGCCGAAGGGAGGTCGGCTAAGGCAAGGTATGTAATGAACCTTCTCTTCTCCTTCTCCCTCTCTCTATTTCTCTCGGCCGACGGGTATGGGAGGATCGGAAGAGGTGGAGTTCGGGTTTGGAAGAGGCGCAGGCTTTGGTGGAGTTCGGTCGGAGGAGGGCGCTTCGGCAGTGGAGAAGGTAGAGCAGCGGGATTTTGAGGTCGTGGAAGCAGAGGATCGGAGGGAGAGCGAGAGTGAGGAGGGAGTCGAGAGTCGAAGAGTGGAACGAGCGTGGAAGGAGTAGACGGGAGGAGAGCAACCGAAGGCTTCCTCTGGGTTGGCTTTTAAAGGCGTCAAAAACCAACGATCAAGGCCGTCGTTGCGGGATTTGCGGGGAAGCGACGCGAACGGCGCCGAATCGGCGAGATTTTGGCATGATTTTGAGGATCCGACGGGTAAGAGGTATGCATGCTAGATTTTTGTTTCTTCCCTCTTGTTTTGTTTATACAGAGGTTAACAGGAGCATAAATTTATGAAGTAACAATTCAAGAGAGGTATATATCTCTAATTAGGTAAATAAGGACTCACTCTAGCGTCAAACTGGATATGGTGCAAAGAGATAAACAGGTTAAACCAGTTTACATTAACAAACCTCCAAATTCTTTAAAACACCAAAATAATAGTAGAATGATTCTCTGCAAGCATTCCTCTGTGGTTAATAGACGATTACTAGGTCAACGTAAAACTCTGTCATATTTATTAAAAAGCATATAGAAAATACAATAAAAACCCAACTACATGAAGGCCATGCAGAAATCCTTTAAACTAATGAAAGAACATCGGCAATACAAAATTTCTATTGAAGTGAATGTATTGAGAGTTCTGGGTGTGATTTCTGTCATGCTATGACATAAGGCACATACTGTTCCAAGTACATGCCACACAAAAGGAGGACCAGGAGTCATGAAACGTTTTGTTACTGATATATCAGAGCCACCTGGAACAAACATGACAGTTCAAGCCTAGTATAAATGTGCAGAATCTTATGGTCCCATTGAAGTCAATATGGTATGCCTTGGCATGCCGCACACAAGAACATTCAGTTATTAAGTAAACTCAAAGCATGGAGCAGCTTCACATTTGGCAGCATAGGAAAAAAATATTATGAAAGGCACACCACCATAATAAAATGCTAGAAATATAATTTCAATATTGCTTACACCTTTATTCTGTCCATACAGAACAATTATCAGTTCATACGTCAAAAAGAAGACAAACAAAAAGGATTCTTTAAAAAGCCAAGCAAATTTAAAATCAAATAAATAGGACATTCAATTGGCTTGAATTTAAAGTTACATCACCAATTATTTACCTAACATGTAACAAACATTTCTAGATGAACAAATATAAGGTAACATGACAAACCTCATAGAGAAACACATCCCAGATCCGTAGAGCCAAGGGAAAAGGGAATGAGTAAGAATATACGGTTATGAACCACTGACTGGCATACATGCTTGGATTAATCATTTCTTCAGAAAAATGTTGTCCCAACTTTGGCAAATGCTCCTTAACCAACTGTTCAAATTGAAATAAATATTGCTGCACTAGTGGTAAACCAACCTGTCATGTTGAAATTGAGACATTAGCACATATGATAGCAATTGCAAAAAGGAAACCATCTAACCAATATGGTGTTTATTTTTTAACGCGTAGCCCTCTTTCGTGGGTTTTAATTTTATTTTTTATTTTTTAAAAAAACATGGTATTTATTTTAGGATTACCATAAAAAACAACCGTTTACTAAACAAGCTTCTTCTTTTTTTCCTTTTTTTTTAATCAGCACGATTAAGTTGCAAGAAAGACAAGCAGCATCAAGCTGTTGTCTTAATAGATTTCAAAATGAAAGGTGCTTGAGTACTATAGTCCCCTTCAATACTACAAAGGAAGCGGAGGATTTCAATCCCTTCAAATACTAATAGTTTACTTTGAGTCATTAATTAAGTTTTAGCTTAATAAACATCTGTCAAGTTCCCCAAACATACAGACATCAACCAACATCCGAGCTGTTTTTCTCCTTCTCTAATTCAAATCAGAATGATATAATGCTGCCTTGTTCATCATTCTGAACGGCATCCATAAATTGAAGAAAAACAATTTACATCCTTGTTTGCAATATAAGGCACAATAATGCAAATTACTTGATTAACAATCACGCGCATAATTTTCATTGCCATGTCCTCTTCTAAAGTTTATATAATATCTAAAAATCACACAATTTTACAAAATCTTTGCAATGATAAATTTGGGACCTCATCTAATCCTCTTAACGTGATTAATTAGCATCCATACAAAATAAAAAGAAGATAAATACAAGGAAAGACAAATAAATCACAAAAGACAGAACACACGTCTCCATTACATTTACAAATACATCTGAAAAAGGATCATGCATCTCTATGATATTAACTCATCCATGCATCTCTATGATATTAACTCATCCATATCGAGATTTGTTTTCATTGGACAAAAAAATTTGCATGTCGATGTCAACGAGATGCTAGATGGGTTAACCGTGCAATGTTTGAGCAGCATTAATACAGATACAAGCATGATAATGGTATTATGTATGCCAATGAAAATTTTAATCTTTTCTTCACCTTGGAAATATAGCTCATATATATGTCCTAATAAGTTACTTGGGAGATTTAAAACTCATATCTGACTCCAGTGGTTTTGCTACTGAATCAGGTCATATGTTGTCGAATCCCATTTCACACCTAATCAGAAACTCAACGACTATGCTATCTAAGATGTTATACTCATAAGAAGAACAACTTGCCTAAAAACGTGGCACCTTTGATCTTCAAAATTCAATTTAGATTTGATAAATATGATCCCAAGAAAAAGTAATGTAAAAAATCCGGCAATAAACCCATGAGTTCATTTAAATGTATTATAAGATCATCACTGACGTAGATTTGCCAATGACTAGAGTTGGATCAGGTTGATCCTGATTCGTCTCCAATTCAAATAGATTTTGAATTTATTTAAAATTTAGGTCAGATTAGGGTCAACCAATATTCAATTCATGATCAAAATCAAGTCAGATATTTAGATAAGGCTTCCCAAATTCATATCAAGTCGGATATTGTTGGTGCAATTTTTGCTATCCTCAACGAATTGAAAATATTTTTTGAACGACTATGACAAAAAATAATATGTTATTATAAAGGATACAACAACATCAAGCCTTTATCCACTGTGGGGCCGGCTACATGAATTCTTTATCTCCGCTTAGTCTGGTTAAGAGTCGAATTCTCATTTATATCTAATAAAGAAATGTCATTTCTAGTATTTTCTAACCAAGTTTTTTAAGGTCTACTTCTATCTTTCTTAACATAAGTCAAATGTCTATTACTACTAAAATTACACTCCATATTTTAGTTTTAGATCTACTCAAACAAAAACCTTTAGACTCTAAGGAAGACCTCCATAATTCAAGTTTACCTTCAACTCCCTCTCAAATCTTATAAACAACAATAATATCATTAGCAAAAAGCATACACCAGGGTCTAACCTCTTGCAAATCTCTAGTGAGAACATCCATGACTAAAGCAAAAAGATATGAGCTTAAGGCTAATCCATGACGTAATCCAATTGAAATATGAAAATACTTGATCAAAACACCTTGTGTTTAAACACAACAGTTCCAACATACATATCCTTAATGACTTGAATATAAGCATTATTAACATACTCTTGGAATTTTATAATATGCTTTCTCTAAATCAATAAATATCATATGTAGATCCACCTTATTATTTTTATACTTTTCCATCAAACCTCTCAATAAATGTATAGCTTCCATAGTGGACCTACCCTGCATGAATCCAAATTGATTTTGAAAAATAGTGGTATCACGCCGCAACCTATGCTCCATAACTCTATCCCATAGTTTAAAATTATTATTCCAAAGGATAAAAATATTATTTTATTATAAACGTAAATTATGGAGGTCAACCTTAGAGTTTAAAAGCTCTCAATTGAGTAGATCTAAAACTAAAAATATGGAGTATAATTTTAGTAACAATAGATCTAGTGCGGAGATTATGACTTTGGACAATCAGGTCATTAAAAAAGAGCACAAGTTTTGATATCTTGTGTCTCTTCTTTACAATGATGGTGAAATAGATGGGGATATTATTATTAGAATTCAAGTTGGATGGTTGAAGTGGAGGAATGCATTGGCCTTGCTATGTGATAGAGAAGTCCCCCTCAAACTTAAGGAAAAATTCTATAAGATGCCAGTGAGACCTGCAATGCTTTATGGTACAGAATGTTGGCCATTAAAAGAGAAGCATAATATTAAGTTAAGTATTGCGGAGATGAGGATGCTCAGATGGATGAGTGGCTTTACTCTTAGACAAGATACGAAATGAGCATATATGTGAAAAGGTTGAAGTAGCTCCAATAGAAGTTAAGATTAGAGAGAGACACCTTAGAGGGTTTGGTCACTTATAAGGGCGGCCTTATGATGACCCGATTAGGAAAGTAGATGTATTAGATTTGACTTATGTTAAGAAACATAGAGGCAGACCTAAAAAGACTTGGTTAGAAAATATTAGAAATGATCTTTTTTTATTAGCTTTAGATGAAAATTTGACCCTTAACAGAACATAATGGAGAAAAAAGATTCATGTAACCAACCCCACGTTTTAGTGGGAAAAAGGCTTGTTATAGTTATAGCATAAAGGTACCATAGAAAAGCAAGCTCTTAGAGTTAATTACATCCCAATAATTCATCCCTGAAGAAATATTTTTTATTAAAATTATGGTTTTTATCATTTCATTAAAACATTAGCTAGCATTTTATTTTATTTTGAGAAATTCTTATTAAATATTTGGTCATTGGGAATTTCAAAGGAGATTGGATCAACTAAATCATTTTTTAAATGGAAGCTAAAGGAGAAAATATAGGAGTACATGTTTCTTGAGTGACTTGGAAGTACCTAAAAGTTTTTTTATGTTAGGCTTTACATTTTAAAAGTAAATTTAGGTTAAAGTTCATCAATTTAATTTAGAAGATTGGGGCTTACATTCAAATAATACAAGTTGGATGAAGTGCTTAGAAAGGTGGAGGCTTACAATATAACTGAAAAGAACAACAATCTCAGACCCTACATTTAAGGTGAAAAACCAAAAAATAGTAAATCTTACCAACATCTAGCGGCATGCAAGGGACTTACGAACTTGAAATCCACTTGGAGTTAAATCAGTACAGCTTTGGACTTACAATCCTGTCAGTACAACTCTGGACTTACAATCCTGTCCAAAAAGAATGGCCAGCTAACACACCTAAACATTTTTAAAATCATGCATGTTTAGTCTTAGTGCATATGCAAGATAGGTAAGACTATTTTGATTTAGAAGATATAATTTATAACTTATCCACTTAAGCCAAGCTGTCTAATCATATGGGCATGCAAATACTGATCTCAATGCAATGGACAATTAGCATGCAATAAAACTTTCTTATTATTTAGTCCTTAATGTGAGGGCTTTTATCTACATGCAACTCACTGGCCTATGACATAATCTTTTTTTATTTTAAAAACTTAGCTCATTATTGTTAAGCAATGCCCTTTTTATTTAAAAGAAAATGGTTATCCTATGATTGATTTTAGAATTTTAAAATTTTAATCAGTTAGGGAGCTCCAAGGCATCATGCATGAGGGACTAGAGCTCCTAAAAGAGAGTTACTATTTTCTTTTCTAGAATGTTTTGGATTTATTAAAAAATGGAAAATAATTCCTATAGCTTTAAGATGATATTAGATTAATTTTGGCATTGTCTAAAACCTTGTAAGAATTTGAAAGGGCGATTTGAAATTTTAGGAGTATTCTAAGTGCTTAAGTTGCTTATCACTTTACTCAACCATTTAATTTGAAGAATGCATAAACAATCTTACATAATTACTGTTGAAGAATTTTTGTATCCTCAAACGGATTGCATATTTTATAATCGAGTATGGCATAAGAACATGATATATTACCCCGAAGGATAAAGATATCATTTCCTTATGGACTCAATAACAAAATTTACAATTTGGTACAGAGATTCCCCCACTCGATGTTTGGTCGAGCGGTGTTTATTTATTTCTGGGGTATAGACGTCCCATAGGAGCAAGCCCCTATGGTTAATTACATCCCAAGTTTTGGCTTGGGAAAACTTTTGATTAAACTAGTAGTTTTGATTTCTTGTTTTCTTTTGGAACTCATTTAAATGTTAGCTAAAATATTGATTTTTGAAAGTCCATGAAAGTCTTAATTAAAGGGTTTGCTCCATTAGAAATTTCAAGGAGGAGTTGATCAACTTAGAATTAGATTTCTTGGAATGAGGGCCAAAGGAGGTGAAGTAGGAGCACTTGATTCTGAAGGAAACTCAGAGGTGCTCAAACTATCCTATGTTGGGCTTTACATTTTAGTAATCTAATTTTGATTTAAGTTGATATTTTTATTAGACGATTGGGGCTTACATCCCAACAACACTTGTTGGAGGAATTGCCTAAAAGATGAGGGCTTATAGGGTGATTTGGAATCAACCCATACCTCGAACCCTAA